AAATGAATAAAACTAAAAAAAAAAAGACCGTACCCTTTTATGTAATGTTTACTTTGAATTTATATTAGTTCACACAAACACTCCATCCATGCTTTTGTTCCGGCCCTCTGGTCCGGTTTAAGAACCCATTGTGGCCCTCGAGTCAAAAAGTTTGCCCACCCCTGGCTAGGTCATTGCTTCTCATGGGGCTGACAGAAAGTAGAGGGCTTCTCTAGAAGTGGTTGTTAAAAGCACATTTTAGTGTTGTTTAATCAATATACATCTTCTGCACAGATTCTGAGATTCCTTCCTTAGGGTGTGTACTGTGCTACCTGGTTGAGAATCTTGGCAATAGTGAACCATTGTTACTGATGCAAAGGTGTTTGGAAAAATGGGTGAGAACCACTGCCCTTGGCTACCATTGCCTCACAAGTTTTAGCTGTCCTTCAATGTTAAGTTAGCACAGAAGAGGGGAATAAGATCTAAGTGTGGGGACCAGTAAAGACTTCTTGGAAAGGGCATCTAAATTGAAGGACAAGCAGGAAGGGGAAAGAAGTATTACAAACTATGGAAGAAAATGATATGGACATGGAAGTGAGAACACAGTAAATTCAAGAATAAAGATCATTTGTTTACAGTATGGAAAGTTATGATACTTAAAAAGTAAAGTTATTTCAGGTCAACTATAGGCAAGATAAAGTCACTAATAGATTCTGAAGGTTGTGTTTAGAAAGATTTCTTTGACGACTGTGATGGGTGAATGTAAGAGGCACAAAAGTGGTTACTATAATCATTCAAAGAAAGATAAGTCCTGAATTTGGTCTGTGATTAACAGGGTTAGAAAGAGGATAGCATGAGGCACTACAAGGGATAATTTTCCGAAATTTGGAGAGTTGAATGGGAGTGAGTTGTTGAGAATGATGATGCAATTAATGCAGATAAGAGACACCATAGCTTATTTGTGGGGAAGTTATTTGGTTTGGGACTTAGGTTTGAGGTGCTGAGGAGTGGGGATCCATCCATGTGGTAATGTTCACCAGTTGGAAATTCAAGACCAGATTTTGAGAGAGGTCTTGGCTAGAAGAGTAGACTTAAGATGCATATGAATGTAAGTGGTACTGAGTTTAAGAGAAAAGAAAGGAGAATGCAGGGACTCACTTCAGAACTATTTAAATAGTTCAAATAGTTCAAATTTAAAACAAGAAAAAAAAAATCAGTACTTTAGCAAAACCAAAGTTAGTGTCCAATTTACTTTCAAAATGGAAACCCCACTGAACTTCTAAGGAACTTGAGTTCCAGAGAACAATTTTTAACTCATCAGTCTTTAAAAATTTTTTTTTTAAAAAAATAGGTTTTAAAAAAAATTTATTTATTTTAGGGAGAGGGAGAGAGGAACATTGATGTGAGAGAAACATCAATCTGTTCCTCCATATGCAACCGAACTGGGGATGGAACCCAAAACTTGGGCATGTGCCCTAACCAGGAATCGAACCAGTGACCTTTCGGTGCATGGGACGGCACTCAGCCAACTGAGCCACACCAGCCAGGGCAACTCGTCAGTCTTTCTGTGTCATTGTGTCATGGTGCTTTTATCTCAGTTGTATTGTGCAGTGGGAACAATGGCAGGTTTCATCCCCAAACCAAAGAACTGACTCTGGGGTCCAGAACTTCCAGCCACCTGGCAAAAAATCTGAGCTTATTTCCCCATCTGTACAAGAAGGCTATGCCCTACTCTAATTGCTTCAAAGGATTTTGAAAATCAAATGACATACTGTATGTGAAAGTACTGTACAGCCCTAACCAGTTTGGTTCAGTGGATAGAGCCTCGGACTGCGGACTGAAGGGTCCCAGGTTCGATTCCGGTCAAGGGCATGCACCTTGGTTCCGGGCACATCCTCAGTAGGGAGTGTGCAGGAGGCAGCTGATTGATGTTTCTCTCTCATCGATGTTTCTAACACTCTATCCCTCGCCCTTCCTCTCTGTAAAAAAATCAATAAAATATATTAAAAAAAAAAAAGTGCTGTACAAACTAAGAGATTATTAGCACAAGAGCATTAGCCTAGCCCAGCCGTGGGCAAACTACAGCCTGCAGGCCGGATCCGGCCCATTTGAAATGAATAAAACTAAAAAAAAAAAAAGACCTCAGCCTTGCTTTGGATACCTGTGGGAATTGCTTGGTTCTGTTGGTTGCACATACTACCAAATTTCTGAGACAAGCACAAATAATTCGACCAGAGCCCAAATCCAGGATAGGAGAAAAATTCTTTATCTGCAGAAGAATCAAGAGACGGAGAAAAGTGAATGCTTCTATGATCTGATCCAAGAAAACAAATTTCCTGCCTCACAAAAAAGGATCCTGTCAGTCATTTTATACCTGCATCACACATAACCCATTTTCCAAAATTCTTTTAAGCTAAGGGATGACACTGCAGCCTCATGGAACTCCCTTTTTATTTTCTGTTTAGATATGGACAGACTGCCTCTCCTAAAATGTTAGTGGGGCCCAGCTGGTGTGGTTCAGTGTTTGCGTGTCGACCGGTGAACCTGGAGGTCATGGTTCGATTCCTAGTCGGGGCACAATGCCTGGGTTGTGGACTGATTCCCAGTAGGAGGCATGCAGGAGACTGCCGATTGATGATTCTCTCTCATCATTGATGTTTCTATCCCTCTCTTCCTCTCTAAAATCAATAAAAACATATTTTTTAAAAATTGTAGTGGGACACCTTGCTGACCTTATCACAATGCTCACCCCCATTTAGGCCTCCAAAGGGCAAGAGGCTCTGCCTGTTTTCAGAGAAGGGGCCAGGTCCTCTCTCCTCAGCCCTTGTGTTCTCATTCCTTTTCAAGGCCTGTTTTTGAAAGTTATTTCATGTAAGGAAATTGCCTAAGGTCACACAATAAGACTCTGAATTAGTCCTACATCATAATAGTGCAGGATAATGAATCCAGAATTTGGAATTGGAAGACTTGGTTTCAAGTACCAATCCACTGGTAAAAAGTGTTTGCTATAACCTTTTAGAATTTTTCTTTATTTTTTAAAATACATTTTTATTAATTTCAGAGAGGAAGGGAGAGGGAGAGATAGAAACATCAATCATGAGAGAGAATCATGCATCAGCTGCCCCCTGCATGCCGCCTACTGGGGACTGAACCTACAACCTGGGCATGTGCCCTTGACCAGAATCGAGCCCAGGACCTTTCAGTCCACAGGCCAATGCTCTATCCACCAAGCCAAACCGGCTAGGGCTAGAGTTTTCCTTTTTACGAGAACTTTCTTAAAGGACTACAAAGGATTACATGAATGTACTGAAAAGCACCTTACAAATTATTACAGTACAAATTTATTTTTCCTGAATGTTTCTAATATTGTTATCAACTACAATAGAATATTGTGTAAAATATGTAAAAACCTATACTTCTGGATAGAGCTGGTAATGGAAGATATCTCAGCTAGTGGCTGGCACAATTTCCAACTGAGGATCCCAAAGCCTAGTTCATGTTCCTCCTGGAGCTCTTAGCTGATTTCAATTACTTTTCAGTCTACCCGCTAACATCCTCCTATATAATAAAAGGCTAATATGCAAATAGACTGAATGGTGGAACAACCGAACCATCAGTCGCTATGACGTGCACTGACCACCAGGGGGTGTGTGCGGAACATGGCGGGCATTGGCTGCTGCGGGATGGTAGAGCAGGTGAGTGGGGGCACCAGACCAAGGCGGGGCAATGGTTGCTGTCATCAGGGTGAGCCTCTGGTGGTTACTGAAAAATCTTTGCTCCCGTGTGCCTCAGTCCCGCCTGGTACTTGCACCCATTCGAGCGCCAGCCCCACTTGCACCCTCTGCCAGTGCCAGACGCCGGTCCCGATCACTCAGCGCCACCAGCAGGTGTGAGTGGTGGCTGCTGGCGACTTCTCCACCTCCCCCTGCTCCTAAGGGGCGATTGGGGGAGCAGCCACTGCTTGCACCTGCTGATGGCACTGACCCCAATCGCTCCACACCGTCAGCAGGTGCAAGTGGGGCCGGGTGCCGTCAGCACGTGGGAGCAGCAGCAGCAGGAGCGGGGCTGCCAGCAGACAGGGGACAGGGAGCCAAAGCGGGAGGGGTTGCTGAGGATGGGCTGAGATCCACCCCTGTGCCCACTGCAGCCTCTCGGCCCACGGTTCCTTTCAAGGTGCATGAAATTGTGCACTGAGCCCCTAGTAATTCTAATAAAATGGTTATGAAAACTCAGAAACACCATTTAACAATTTAAAAACCCAGCTCTCCAGGGTCCCTTCCTCTGTCCAGGCCTCTGCATGTGCTGTTCCTCAGACTGTTCTTCACTAGCTACTTCCTCACCATCTGGCAAACCTCACTTCAAATGCCATTTCTTCCTCGAGGAACCCTTCCTGGACTCTACAGACAAGGTCTCACTAATGTAATCCAATTCTGATTATAAGCACAAAGTCCCCCCTGGTGAATATAAGCTCTGGGAAGAAGGGTCCATGTCTGTCTGGATCCTTCCCTGTCCTTACTACCTTGGATAAAGACAATACAATGTATTAAATGAGTGGAAGAGGCCAGAGCTTTGTGTTTCTTTAATCATGTTAAGAGCTCTTATAGCAATAAAAATAAAAAATATAAAGAAAACTAATTTAGCCCTAGCTGGTTTGGCTCAGTAGACAGAGCGTCAACTTGCGAACTAAAAGATCCCAGGCTTGATTCCTGTCCAGGGCACGTACCTCAGCTGCAGGCTGCTCCCCGGCCTGGGTGCTGGTTGGGGTACGTGCAGGAGGCAACTAATCGATGTGTTTCTCTCAGATCGATATTTCTCTCTGTCTTTCCCTCTCTCTAAAAATCAACGGAGAAATATCCTCGGGTGAGGATTTAAAAAAAAACACCTAATTTAGCAGTGGCAGAAAAGGTTCTGGGTGGAGGAATGCTTCCTTTGGCAGTTTTCACCAATCAAAAGAATGTATGGATCTCAGTCATCCAGATCTTTTTCAGAGACACCGCAATGGTCCAGGATCAAGCCTGCTCTGAATCCATCACTTTATTCAAGTGGAGCTGCCTTCTGGGAAGACCAGTTAGTCAGCCAGGAAATCAGTCCAACATCTGTGTGAGCAGACAGGTGTCCTTTCTTTTTCTTTGATTGTCATGATCCAGAAGACAGTTTCTAGGTATGGAACCTATCTTAGGCAAAACCATAAAGATGAAATTTCTCAGTGTCAACCTCACTGTTCCCTCAATTGTTTCTATTTGTTTTAAATGGCCTTCCCACAACTACTTTAGGATAAATTTAAATCAATGTTTAGCCTCATTGCAGAGAAGTATTTTTACCTTATCCCAACTTTGGGAAACAAAGGGTCTGTTCCCCATAAATATTATTTCAGACAACAGCTACCAAATCCGTGTGTATCTGTGTGTAGGAACATGTATAGGATATACATCCACCCCTGCCCTCTGGTTGGTATCACACTTGCTTACCCTCCTTACCCACACACACCGAACCAAGTATTAGTGGATTTAAGCTGCCTTAAACACACACAAATAAGAAACAGGGCCTGTCAGATTGAAAGTCTCCTCAAGTAAGATTCAACATCTGCATAATAAATGTTAGTATATAAAAGCCAATAGCAGCGAGAGATACGGTATCGTGTGACTCTGAAGTGCTGGGGGGACCAGATCGCCTGGGTAACAAACAGCCGGACCAGCGTGTTTAATCATCAGACAAATGGTCAAAGTCAGAATTTCCTCTAGGCCCACTGTCAGGACTTCACTTTGACCTTCTCAAATTTCACTGAGCTGGTTCGCATTAGGGTGACTTCCAGGATCTCTGGCTTCAGGGATTCTTTCTCTTATTATCCTTCAATTACCCATTAGTCATTTTGGGCTTTGGCAATTCCTGCAGGATGTAGGTTTCACTTCTTCCCTGTAAATGAAGAGGCAGCCCATGAGGTTGTTAAACAAATTCTATTCAGCAGCTGGAAAAGTGCATTTCCTGTGGAATGACAGGAATTACATAGAAGCAAGCAATTTTATTTTCCTCAAATGTAGCAATAATTTCAATCTGTACATACATAAAACAAACAGTGCAATTATAAAACCTTGAAGGTGACATGCATACATTAAGGTGCAGTTGGGATGGAGGAGGATGTTAGCATCTCCAATTTTCCTTACCACTTTTTTTCTAGTCCTTATGCGAAAGTACTGAGTCAGGAAACTTCATCTGGAATGCTCAAGTTAAAGGTGAACTTCCTGAAGTCTGCAAGTCTAAGTATCACAAACAGAACAGAGATGATATCCTAGAGCAGTTTGGTAGGGACTAGAGTACTATGGCTGGGCTTTTAAGCTGGGAATGAATGACATCGGGGATGCATTTTTCTGAAAAAGGAAAAGAGATAATGTTTGTAACTGAGTGTCCTATTTCTCTTTCATAGTTGCTACCCATGTGAGCCCTTCCGCCAATCTTTTGATTCGGTATTATACTTTTTGAATAGATGCTGTCCAATGGAGTTATTTGTAACTAGGGTTGGTGAGACGCAGAGAGAAGGACCTGGGAAAATGGCTTCTTCCTTGATGTCTGAGTCCAAGCTCCTCTTCCACTGTGAGTTCTTATGGCCTTTTCTCTGCCATGGAAGCAGAGGTAGCTGGTGCGCAATGTCAGGTGCTGTCATCATTCACAGGCCCAGGAGTGCAGGTAAAGGTGAGTGATGGGGGTCTACCTTTGCTTCTTCCACAATACCTTTCTCAAGCTTTCCTGGCCTTGCAGCACAACTTCTAGAACTAGAAAGTCAGTTCACTGGGTCCTTGACTCAGAGGCCAGGATGAGACAAGATGTGGCAGAGTGACAAGACACAAAGGGAAAACATGGTACCAGTTAGCCTCAGAGCAGAATAAATTCATATTTGCACTGATGAAAATTAAAATTCCCAAAGTCAATCTAAAAAAAGTAAGATTTCCTTTGAGTACTAATTTCTCTGTACAAGTAGCCTGTGCACTTCTGGTGACAATTCCTGACACTGCTCTCAAGGCAGATGATCCCAGTGAGACACTAGGGCAGTGCGAGCTCTAGCTCATCTGGAACGGCTCTTTCCGGCAGTTGGCATTTTGATTTGAACCCCGAAGTAAATCCATACATGGTATCACAGTTATTAAAATAATGAAATATTACTAGCCAGATGTAACTGCAATTCAATCAATGTTATATTTCACACAAATATAGAAAAATCAAGAGTATGATAATAAAGCCATAAAATTAAACAGAAGGAAATAAATTTCTACAAGAAATCAAAGATATTTACAGTGAGATTTAAAGGGAAAAATAAGCTACTTAGATCATAAACTTAATTTTATTTTAAATAACTTTAGCTACGTCAGCTGTTAATACAATAAAAGCAGAAAGAACAGGCTGCCTTTTCCCAGATTTAATCAGAAAATTGTATCTACAATAATTGACAGAACTCGCTTCTTGTCCTTCACCCATCTCATCAAAAATTATTGCATTTTCCCCAAACTGTATTTTTTGGATTCCTCTGAATACACTCATTTCGTCCTCGTTCCTGGAGGCATCTTGGTTTAAATCCATCTTTAAAAAAGGGGTACACATGTGGAGGCAAAATATTCTCTTGAAGCCAACAGATACAGAGTTGCTAGAAGAAGCTGATTGTACACACAAGCTGCCTGGGGTCGGGAAGGGCTGTTGGTTAGAGACACATGACAGCCTTTGGTGAGGGCACAGGCCCTTCTTCCTGGGCAGAGTCGGAGCTGAGCCTGCGGAGGCGGGGCTCTGTCTTCCCTGCGGAACTTGTCCTTTTGGTTCTCCTCCAAAGGCCTTCATCCAGATAAGAAGCCAATGACTGATTACAAAAATAAGAATAATTAAATTTGGCTCAAGAAATAGATTGTCCAACTGTTCTGCCTTGTTATTTTTCAATATCCAAGGCCTTTACAAAGAAACAAAAACATCTCTCAATCTCCCAACAAAAGTGAACTCCTTTTTTTTTTTTTTGCTCCAAATGCTACGACCTGAAGAATGGCTGCAGATTGAGATATCAAAAATCTCAGAAAAATATATAATATATTTGTATATCTCTGTATGTCTATTATTTAAATTTCACATTCCTTTAAAAGTGGTTATTCAGTCAGTAGCTGCTGAAGGAGGCTCTTCTGCTGGGCCTGGGGGGTCTGTGGTCCTGCCGTGGGTTTTTGAGTTCCCAGTGGACCAGGCTGGTTCAGGTAAGGGTCCCCGCCTACCAGATTCACTGTACACTGGACGTCAGCAAACACCTGAACCTGTTGCACCTGCTGGAACACAAATAAAAGATGTGTTTAGACAGAAAGGTCTGCCCCCCCGGCTTATGAGTGGGTACTACTTGAAGTGGAAACTCACTAGAGCATTCCTCTAGTCTGTAGTCACCACAGAGAAGAACTCTTCTGTCTTCTTGTCCTACAAAAAGAAAATCGCTGCACTCATTTTGCTCAGGGTTCTGGAAAGTTCACACTTTAAAAATAAATTAAAATCGGAATGGTCAAGCCTCCTACAGGGTTGCCATCAATACTGAAAGTGAGCATTATTGCGAATATTGCCAAGATTGGGAAAAGCCCAGTTTCAGAGACTGGGTATCCAGTGGTGGGTTAAAAAAACAACAACACGTTATTTGGAAAACTGGTTCAAAAGCATTCTACAGATAACTTTAGTAGGATAAAAAAATCTTTATGATGTTAGAAAATTAAGGACTTTAACCCAGTATTAGCAAAATACAACCACCACAACTCAGTATCAGGACATCAGAATTACTAAAGTTAATGTCCCGAAGTACCTAAATGTACTATTACATATTTATTTATTGCCTTTAGAATTACAGCAAAATATTAACAGAACAATTTTATGTTTAACTTTTTTTCCTGATAATCCATTTAAACACATGAAGTAAAAATAACAGTAAATTACGAGATGAGAACAGTGTGAATTTTCCCTTTAACTACTTTCAGTAATAATAGAACTATTCCTTTAAAATGTCTACAGTTGCATAGTTACAGCATTTTCTATTGGGAAAACAAAACCAGAAGTTAGTCTTTACCAATCAGTCTTATTAAAAAGTCATTTGTAGGACTGATAAAGGCCAATATCACACTGTAAATGTTCCAGACCAAGAATGGAAAGGCCTTCTCAGTCATCTAAGTACATCTAACTAAGTGTCTCAGCTTTTGGCCAACTTGAGCCTCGTGTTTAATAGGTTCCTGAAGTTTTTTAGATTAATGGTGCATTTCTTGGCCATTTGTCACTAATTCATGCCAATTACATTCAGCTTTTTGAAAAAAATTTTAATCCTAATTGAATAAAAGTTGTTTTCCATCAACCTTCACTGGCCAAATGTCAAATGTCTCAGTGATCCAGTTGCCGTATCAGTCTAGCCCCTGGTCCTCTCGGTTCAGCGACACTCCAGTCTACTCTCCTTCAGCTAACGTCGGCGCCCTGAGCTTTCCAGTGCCTGATGAATGAACTCTGCTTAGGTTAGCCTCAGTTCTGTCCTTGGCCTCTCTCTCCTCATCCTCCTCTTTCCCCACTTTCCCAAATTTTGCCTCTTGCCTCCACATGCTTCCATTTGTTGTTTTCTTTTGGGCTCTGCCTTGTGTATCTAAAATATACCAACTGTCTGAATCTATTCTCTAGCTGCCTCTGTGTCCTCCCTCACCTTCGTTCTCCCTAACTACTCACTCCTACTTTTCCTTCTAGAGCTCCCCCTGGCCTTGCTCTCTTCCCATGTAAACAATCTCCCTACCAGCCCTCTTCTTGCGTCTCTTTTCTGTGTTCCTTTCCTGTTCTCTCTTGTCTTGCCTCCTCCTCATCCCAGCACTCCACAAGCTGGGACAGAGCTCCCTTAGACCAGCCCTCCAAGGACTTCTAGTGCTGCCACACCTTCACAGACAGGCGAGGCCAGGCGCAAAGAGAGCTTCAGGTTTACCAGGTCAAGGGGTGGTGTGGGAACCGAGTCCCAACCTCTTAAGCTTTCCCAGAATCGTTTTTACTTCAAGTCTTGATTGTTTTGTTTGACCTATTTTGTTGAGCTGCCCAGTGTAAGTCTCCGTAGGTGTGAGACTTTAAAAACTTCTAGTGAATGAAGACTTCATCTTCCCCATCACAGAATCCCCTCTTCAGCCCCACAGGACTCAGATCCTTTTGCCTAATGGACAGAGCCTCCTAACTGATCTTGCTCCTCCAGAGCTGCTGCCCAGGCTCCTTCTTTCCCCTCCCCGCCTCCACATGAAGCCTAGACTGGCGCTCAGATCACTGCTTCCTCTCAGGATCACGTCTGCAGCACTGCGTCCATATCCCTAAGTTTAGCATTCATGGCCCCTGGAAGTTTGTCCCAATACATTCTACCAATTTTAATTCCTATGAATTCTTATTGCAAACCCTCTGCCTTCCTTCAGTGAATTTGGTTTCCCAGCACTATGCTAAGATATACCACTGTCTCCCTGTCTCCGGACCCTCCACTTCCAATCCCCTAGACTTCCAAGTTTACCCCACCCTAGCTTCCAACAACTAGCCCGAAGACCTTTCTCCTTCAGTTGGTCTTGCAAACTATCCCTCAAGGCCCAGTTCAGTCCCATCTCCTATGGAAATGCTCATCTAACCATCTCAGCAATTTTTACTATTTTTTAAAAAACACTCACGTCTCTTGTTACTTGTAACGAAAATTTGAGTGACAATTTATGTGTACAGTCTATGTGTTTTATCTTTCAGCAGGCCCTCAGTGGTGTAGCAGAAAGAGCATCAACTTTAGTGTTAGAAAGACCTGGGTTTGAACCACAGCTCTGCCACTTTCTGGCTTTGTGAATTGTGCATATAATCAAACCTCCTCAGGCTGTTTCTTCATCTGTGGGAAAAAAGGGAATACTACTCCTTCTGGGGGTAAAGTGAAGCTTACATGAGGTAATGCATAGTGCCCAGCACAGTGCCTGGCAAACCACGAGCATTTATTTCGTAACTTTGTTTCCTCTCTTCTTCACATAATTCATCAAAAGGGCAAAGATGTCTCACGTTTCTTTGTATCGCCACATTAAGCATAATGCTGGTACTTACATTTTTTTTAAACTACTTATTAAGAGACTAAATACTAAACCAAAGTTACCTAGCGAATTAAAAACTCCAACAGCCGAAACCGGTTTGGCTCAGTGGATAGAGCGTCGGCCTGCGGACTGAAAGGTCCCAGGTTCGATTCCGGTCAAGGGCATGTACCTGGGTTGCGGGCACATCCCCAGTAGGGGATGTGCAGGAGGCAGCTGATCGATGTTTCTCTCTCATTGATGTTTCTAACTCTCTATCTCTCTCCCTTCCTCTCTGTAAAAAATCAATAAAATATATTTTAAAAAAAAATAAAATAATAAAAAAAAATAAAACCTCCAACATTTCCAAATGTAGGTCAATATAAAAAAGTGGCCACCCATGCTTTTTTTAAAATTTATTTTTTATTTTTTTCCTTTATTGATTAAGCTATTACAAATGTGTTTGTTTTAAAACAAACTTCTAATAAGGAGGCAGAGTACGCAGCAAACATTTTGTTTTACTTGAATTTACTGAGATCTTTTGAGGTATTTTGACTACATATGAATTTGAGCACTGTTTATTTACAACAGTGGTTCTCAACCTTCTGGCCCTTTAAATACAGTTCCTCATGTTGTGACCCAACCATAAAATTACTTTCGTTGCTAATTCATAACTGTAGTGTTGCTACTGTTATGAATCATGATGTAAATATCTGATATGCAGGATGGTCTTAGGCGACCCCTGTGAAAGGGTCACTCGATCGCCAAAGGGGTCACGACCCACAGGTTGAGAACCGCTGATTTACAAAATAGTAATTAGTAGCCACATTAAATTAAACCTTATGGAAGTTTATCTCAATAATTTAACCCTCTCAACAATCCTATAAGCAGGTATCTTGTTAGTCTATTGGTTACACAGCAGCTCAGGAGGTTCCCTAACATGCCCAAGATGACACAGCTAAGAAGAGTAGGGCCAGGACTCACACCTAGGTCTGACTCCCAAGGTCATCCTCTTAACCACAATGCTGCACAAAGTTTCGTGCATCTCTAGAGTGCCTCTGGCAGCTTAGGGCTCAGAATTTTCTTACTGACCTGGGTTCCATCTGCTTCTGTTTTGAGAAGGTCAGTCGATGAAAGCTGGTTGCAGTAGAGGCCTGTGTGTCTCAGTGCCGAATCACTGATCTATTAGAGACAAGTACAAGGCCAAATTACAAGATAGTTGTTTAAGTTGAAGCTCAAATTCTTCAATGAAAAACAGTCTCGCTGACAGAAAAGTAACAGGACAGCAGACATACAGAGCTTAGCAATCGTCTATGTTGTTAGAAGTGAGGACAGTGGTCCCCTTTGTAGGGGTGGAGAGTGATGTGGAAGGGAGAGGAGGAGAAGCTCTGGGTGCTGGCAATGTTGACCTGGCTGGCAGTTATAACCGTGTGCTCAGTTTGTGACAATTTATCTAGTTGTATATTTTTTCTATATTCTTATATATGATACTTCAATTAAAAGTTAATTGTAAAAGACTTCTACTTCCAGTCAAGATTCAGTAACAGGGATCAGATTTATCTTCTGCCTAAATCAATTAAAAAATTGGACAACATATATAAAATGAAGACATTCAAGACAGTGGACAAAGGCAATGAAAGAGAGTTACTCCTAAGAGTTGGGAAACAACTGAGGCGAGTCCTGTGATTACCCCAGCCTACTGCCTAGAGTCTGGGCAGCAGACTAGGCCCTAGACTGAAGTTCCAGGCTTAGCGTGGGGACAGGGAACCTAGGCAGAGCCTGGCAGACTTCCTGAGTTGAGAAGATGCAGCTGGAAGTCTGAGATGGCCAAGGCAGCTGGAATTCACAGGGTAGAATATCTGATGAGAGAGCTACACAGAGAGAAAGTTCTGAAGATCTGCAGATCCCCTCGAGGCTATAGCTTAGTACTGATCAGCTAATAGGTATCAGGGAACTACCCAAAGAAGAGAAAAGATTCATCTGAAAAGATTTTCATGGAATAATTCTCAAAGATCACAAAGATATGGGAATATGTCTTGAACCCACTAGCCAGAGTGGAAAACATTATAATTCATGTATTATCAAGTAGGATTTGCCTCAATACTAGGGCAAAACTAGCCCTATAATACACATAGCTGTGGTCACCAAAGAAAAAAGCAGGACCTGAAAATGATCAAACTGTTTTCAAGTAACTTAACCACTTCCAAAAACAAAGCTCAAGAATATTTATAGGAATATTAACAAGGTACAATTCATGTCTAGCATCCAATAAAAAATGACCAGGCATGCAAAGTAGCAGAATAATATGACCTATAATGAAAAATAAAGTCAACCAATTGAAACCAACCCCAAAATGATGCATATGATAGAACTGATAGGTGAGAATATTAAGACAGTTATTATAATAATCAGATTCCATATGTTCAAGAAGAGAGAGAAAAGACTGAACATGTTAGAGATATGCAAGATACAAAAAAGGTCCACGCTGAACTTCTAGAGATGAAGATCAATGTCTGAGATGAAAAATATATTCGATAAAATGAACACGTCAAACACTGTAAAAGAAAATATTCAGTGAACCTGAGGCTATAACAACACAAACGATCCAAAGTGAAACACATAGAGAAAAAAATGGCTGACCTCACACCACTCCCCAAACCTCCAATCCCCCAGACCCAGAGAACCAGTGAGCTGTGGGCTAACTCCCAGTGGCCTACTACATGTGTAACCGGAGTCTCTGAATGCGGGGTGGAGGCCTAGTAGACAGGCAAAATATTGGAAGAAATAATGTCCAACATTTTCCCAAATTTTATGAAAACTACACATTCATAAATCAAGAAGCTCACTGAAGCCCAACCAGGCACGAGAACCATGAATAAAATCACGTTAAAGAATATCATGATCAAATTGCTTAAAACCAGGAATAAAGTGAATGAATAATCTTAAAAGCAGCCTTAAGGGGAAAAATCAACACGTACAGAAGAATGAAGACTAAATGACAGCGGTTATCTTGTCAGAAAAACTGAGCAACATCTTTAAAGCACTGAAAGCTAAAACTGCCAACCCAGAACTCAGGGAAAATAATTTTAAAAGATGAAGGTGAAACAAAAACTTCTCACACATATAAAGGCTGAAAGAATTCATCACCTGCAAACCTACACTATAAAAAGTGTTAAGTAAAGACCTTCAGGCAGAAGGAATGTGATACCAGATGGAAATTTGGATCTACACAAAGGAATGAAGAACACTAGAAATAACTACATGGGTAAATATAAAAGAATTCTTATTTAAATTTTTAGAAAATATACTTGACTGTTTAAAGTAAAAGTACTAACAATATTTTGTGGGGTATGTAGGCATAATATATGTGACAATAGCATAGGAGGGGAGAAAGGAAATAAACTTTTGTGAAGTTCTTATATTATACATGAGGTCATGAAGTATCACGTTAAGGCAGATGATGATAAGGTAAAGATAAATATATATATATATAGCCAACAAAGGAGATAAAATGAATTTAAATATTCAATTAAATGTTTAAAAAGGCAAGAGATGGAACAAAAAGAATAAAAGTGAGACTTTTAAATCCAACCATATCAATAATCACATTAACTGTAAATGGGCTAACCACTTCAATGAAAAGGCAGAGAATATAAAATTGAATAAAAAAGCAAAACTCACCACATAAAAAATACACTTTAAATGTATGTTCTTTAACCTAATTCATTATATTTTTTATTATTTTGTTTTAATCTACTGTAAATAGTGAATAACTCCAATAACTGAATAAAAACAAGATAACAAGGACGAGAAACAATCCTATTTAGTTCTTTTATTTTGCTATAAAATATGGATCACTAAGTTGTTGTTTTTTCTCCTTGCTAACTTCATTAGGCTTACTACATAATACATGGGGAGTAGGGATTTAAAAAAAATTAGTATCAGAAAGGAATTCTATAGAAAAGGTAATCAGTGTTTACACATTTTTTAAGATTTGTTGTAAATTATGGCTACATGGTCAAAGCCTACTTACCATAGTCTACTTTGTAGTTGCCGATAATGAGAATAGTAACCAATGATCTTCTTAAATATCACTTTGAATTTAGTAATTCTCTCTTTAAAAATCTTCAGGAGGTTCCAGGATAAACTCTAAACATTTAGATGGCCTGCAATACCTCTAAAATGCCTATCACATTTATTCTGCTCTAAAGATAACATAAAATATCCCTTTAACATTCATTAAGCTTCTCAACCTCTATTCCTGCCTAGATCATGCTGTGACAACCAGACTTAAATGCTCTTTTCTATTCTCTTTCCTTAGACAAATTTTCCATGTAGTTTTTCCTAACAGGGATGTTGTTCCTTTACACTCTCAGCAGTCAATTGTATATACCCTTCATCTGACATAATATGTATGGTTCTAGGGGGGTCCATCCCTTCACAGCTGTTTTGTCCTATTATTCAACTGATCCTTTGTTCATGTTGTTTAACCCTAGCTTGTTAATATTATCTCCTATACAGCTATCTTTGCACATAGCAAGTACTAAAATGTTCAGAACATACAGGGGTAAATTCCACGCCAATGTATTATATGTACTTTTTATAATAAACCTAAAACACTAAAATCTCCTGAGACTAAAATCTTACAAGGTCAGTCAAAATTTCCATTGAATATCTTAAGGGATAGCAATTATCAAAAGATAGAGGGGAAGAATAAAGAAACGTGGTTATTTTGATGAGTAACTATAAATTCACCTGACTTTCCTTAGAATAATAATTTGTGGTGTGGTATGGTGTGGTGTGTGTGTAGCAAGTGTGCCAGTTGTGCCGCTTACCTGCTCAGGGCACACAGTGTTCATTCCTGGCATCTGCAAAGAGCTCATCTGCATCTGGCCCATCATTGGGTTCATGTTCTGAACACTGGTGTTTCCACCCGCCATGGACACAGTGATGCTCATGTTGTTGTACACTCCTGGCTGTGCGGGCGCGGGCTGGTTCTGGACGGCTTGACTGAATACACTGTTAACTCAAAAACAATCCCAATTACATCCACTGATCATGAACATGGAATGTGACTGGACTTCGTTTCTTAATTACTAGACAGAATTCTAAAGAAAATACTTTACATTCGTACGTTATATATAGGCTTTATCTTATTACAATATGTAAGGGTTGAGTATAATTCAGATGTATTCTCAATTCTGCCCAAGGGGTTTAATAACTAAAAGAGCTCATTTTAAGTTACAGTCATCTGGCCTAGTATCAGAGTTGATAAGCTCCAATTAACTGAATAATTAAGAGAGGAAGTTTTTCACATAAGTAAATCTTCTAGATAACTGAAGTTTACCCATTTAACCATCAAAATCATTCTAAGATCATAAATGTTAAGCCAGTTTCTATTAGTAGATAGAATAGAACTTGAAACTTTATACGTGAACCCCCAAAATTCTACGTGATACAGATCTACACATCTAAAGGAAAATATATGAATTGTATGTCTTTTATAAGTTCTATAAAACACCAAATGTTTTATGATTATCTGTCAATTGTTAAACAATAAGCTGCAAAGAGCTTATTGTAAAATGCTACCTGGTTTAATGTTAATTATGGAAAATTTTATTTAAAAGAATATTTACCCTATCAGTGGCTTATCTATTCCTTGCCAGCTCTTGGGAGGGAAGCAGGATAGCTTTGGCAGATTAAGGTAATACTGAAATTAACAGGCTGAGAAACAGGCTGTTCATCATGTCTGAAGAAAAGTAGTAAATATTCCCCAAGTAATCATAAAACACCAATGCTCAAAGTAAAGTATATGCCTAGGAAATGGTCAATAATGCACCTGTAAACCACTAATGTCTGCACAATTATGTGTAATGTGTATGCTTGTGAGGCAGTGTCCCCACAACTAAGTGAGAAGAAAAAACCCATGAGGCTGCTGCTCACTTTCCAACGAGAACATTTCTGCCTTAGACAACGCTCATTTGTCAACCAATAGATCAATCACCACTGTGGAGGCTCGGGGCTTATGTAAGTTAATGCATGCAGAATTTTCAAGGACTGCAATGATGTCATCCTTAGTGGAGAAAGCTTCGGATTTAATTTCTTGTCAGATTTCTATGTGGGGCTATATATTAAGTTCTTTCAAACTGCTCCTGCCAATAGTTCCATTTTAGTTTCTCCCATCCTGGGAAGGAGCCCAACTGTTCTGTGGCATCAGCCACTGTGCCAGGTCCTGGAATGGACTATGGGGTTCACTGGCACCTTAGGTCTTATGCCTGAAGGACCCCTCCCTCTGCTTTTCTAGTTGGCCTCATGGCAGCCATCATAGCTTCCCTAAGCTAGTACCAGGTACTGGTAGCCCCTAAATCATGAGGTGAACAGGGAAAAATTAAGACTTTGGCCTAAAGTGGGTTCCACAGGGAGGACAGGTACTAACAAGCAGGAAGGAGGAGTTCTTGGTCAAATAAATCTGAGAAACGAAGGGTTAAACAACAGGCCTTCTTAGCCTTTAAAATGCTAATAAGCACCAGGACTCTCCCAGTGACTAGAGTTACAGGGAAAGCTGCCCAGTTCCAGGACAAACAAATTTGTTTTAACTCTTTATTTCTCTTGCCACCAGAGAGGTAATGAAAAAGAATCACATCTTACTGTCTCTGAATGCAACATTCTACTTAACGATTCTTTGTTTTGTGTTTTACTTCTCTTTGCCTACTCCTGTCACCAGCTGGACTCTTGGTGACTTGACAGCAGGAGCTATTCTCCCGTTGCATGTGATCCCTGCCCTGTGCAACAGGGACAGTGCGTGGCCACAAAACATATGCTGCCTGTGTTGACTAACGAGCTTCTACACACGAACCAAATAAGCAAGTGTGAATGTTTGAAGAGTTGGTGATAATTATTTTCTTTCTCAAATGACATGGGAAAGTCAAAGTTCACAAAAACTGCTAACGTACAACAAAACTCAAGTCCACATTGTGTCTGAACTCAAGAAGTGACTTAAGTGGGAATAGGAAATCTGCACTCATTCGTTGGAGAAACATGTATTAAGTACTTACCTGTTCTAAAGGATAGATATACACGAGTAAACAAAAACAGTCCTTGCTCTTAGGAAACTTACATTTTAGTGGGAGAGACAGACCATAAATAAACAGACTAATACACACTCTGTCAGGTGTTAAGCACTGAAGAAGGGAAAGGAAGGAGCAGGGGTGGGAAATGGTGTTGTTTTAGGAATCATGGTCAGGGGAGTTTACTATGGTGACATTCAATATCTATGTTTAACAAGGTGACATTAAGTAGAGACATGAAGTATGAGACAGCAAACCATGACTACTGAGAGACTATCCCGGCAGAGGGATTTTAAAAATGCAAAGGTCCTGAGTTTGCAATGTACTTGGCACATCTGAGGAACAGAAGAATAAACAGAAGCCAGGGTGGCAGGGTGAGTGATGAGATTAGCAGATGAGGTCAGAGAAGCATCCAGGAGCAAGTTTAAGTGGTGCTTTCTAGCCCTATATTGTATGTTGAGTAAGTTGGAGAGTTCTGAATAAAGGACTGCCTGACACACGGCCTCCTGTTTGAAAAGCATCACCCTGGCTGAAGGTTGCTGTAGTGAGCAAGGGTGGACCATGGAGGCAGGAGGCTACTGCAACGGTCCAGGAAAAAGATGATGGTGACTTGTACCAAAGTGTACAAGTGGGACAGGTAACAAGAAGAAAAGGTGTTCCTCTGCATAACTGGAAAACTGAGTTACTTACTGAGACGGGGAAAGTAGGAGAGGAGCATGTTTTGGGGAGAATCTCCCCTTAGTTTCCATCATGCTGTATAAGAGACTTCCATGTGGAGATGTCGATTAGGCAGTTGTATATACAGTATGGTGCGCAGGGGAGAAGTCTGGGCTGAGATTTGTGTTTGGGAGTCATAGCATAGTGATAGGCATGTATGACAATAAGATTGGACGATATAACCAAGGGAATAGATATGGGGAAGAGGTCCTAGAGCAGTGGTTCTCAACCTGTGGGTCACCAACCTGTGGGTCACAACCCCTTTGGGGGTCGAAACAGGGGTCGCCTAAGACCATCGGAAAACACATATATAATTACATATTGTTTTTGTGATTCATCATTATGCTTTAATTATGTTCAATTTGTTACAATGAAAAGTCATCCTGCATATCAGATATTTACATTACGATTCATAACAGTAGCAAAATGACAGTTATGAAGTAGCAATGCAAGTAATTTTATGGTTGGGGGTCACCACAACATGAGGAACTGTATTAAAGGGTCGCGGCATTAGGAAGGTTGAGAACCACTGTCCTAGAGGGAGCTCTGAGGCCCTCAAATGGAGGTCAGGGAGAGGAGGGAACGGAGAGACTAGGGGAGTCACATTTCTCAAGTGAGGAGGAAAGTTGTTCCAGAAACCAAATGAAGAAAGAATGTCAAGAAAGAGTAAATGCTCGACATTGTTAAGTGCTACCATGACCACTGAGTGCATCCGGCATCGTAGAATACATTAGTGACCTTGACAAGAATACTTTTGGTGGAGTGGTAGGGATGAACAGTCTGATTGGTTCAACAGGGAATGAGAGGAGAGGAAGTGACAGAGTATAGTCTTTTAACAAATTTAACTGTCAAGGGGGAACAGACCTGTCAGCATGACTGTGTTGCTTCCAGCCACATTAAGTGCGTAAGCGTAGACATGGAGCAAGAGCTGAAGCTGGATTTCATTAGGAGCACTTTGCTAGGCACAGTGTGAAAGGGAGAAAGCTGGACAAGCAAGCTGAGTGCCTGTAAGGGAGTAACTATAGTGATGGACCATGAAATCTTAAGAGGGTTTAGGAAGCTGGGATTAGAACACATTGGGAGACTAAATTCTTCTTGCATGTTAGTTCCATTTCTACCTAATTTACACACAGTCCCCATTGAGAGCTACAGTTTTTACACAGTCCTCTGAGAGCTACATAGTTCTCTGACAAGAAGATCTCCTCTCTCACCTTTCAGTGAACTTTCAGAGAATATAGTCTTTGAGTTTTAAACTTTAACTGCCTTACTTATTATGCTGTCAGATCAAATGGTTTCCCTGTCATTAGAACCAAGACACAACCAAATTAAAACCCTTAAAAAATTCAAATGATGTGTGAAAAGTTCAGCAGCCAGGATTTGGAGGAAAATGACTTTAGTGAGATAATGCTAAGCAAAATGGGTAAGATGAGGCCACTGAGTACTAGAATCAAAAAGTTGGGTAAGGCAGAATGACCCAGAAGCCTTGAAACCTTTGTTACTATGAAATCTTTAAAAAATACTGAGAAGAGTGCAACCTGTCTGAATTCAGCTCTATTGAATTCTAACATTTTGCCATTCTTGCTATAGATTTTTAAGATATTTAAGCATTTATATAAAGAGATGCTTTTTTTTATAAGTTCCCATTTCTACATCTGTCCCTGGGAAGTCTGTCCAAATGGGAATTGATCATATTCCCTAGCTGTGCGATGTGGGACAAAAGGTTGGGGGCCGTTAGACCACTTTTCTCTACTGTAAACATATAAATTTACCTAAGAATCACTTAAAGGATTTAAAAATCATTATTTTTCTTGCTGATGACATAAAATTCAGTTCCTTGAATTTTCCAATTGCAGTAGCCAATAATAATGTATTTAGATTGCGAAGGAATGGCTGTTCTTATGTGCTGCAGAGTACTGGGGACAGTCGGAGATAAAAATTGCCCCTTACTTGTTGTTTCCCATTGCTCCTTGCTGCCAGGCCTTCATGTCTGGTGACTGGTACCCGGAAGCAGGTGGAGTTTGCTGGAGGAGAGAGCTCTGAGGAGGAGGGATTGGCATCGGCACCATGGAGCTCCCAGGGCTCAGAGATGGAGCAAAGCTGGCCTCACCTTGGGGAACCATTCCTGCAAATTGACACAAATTAATTTATGTGAATATATTATAAATTCATTAACCTACAACGATCTTTAGAAATAGCCTAATCAGTTGCCGGGAGCCGGTCCATGCTTGCTGTTTCAAGGGACCTGGCATATATGGCATACTGTTCTTAATATGTTTGCTCACCTTCTTGGCACTATGTGTTTTAACCAAGGTCTCTGAGAAAGGTTGTTTCCCCAGGTAGGGATTTTCCCCTGAAGTTAGGGAGGGAATAAAGCCTCTTAACTAGTGCCAGGTGGGTAATTAATCACTTTAACCACGAGCAATCATGCTTAAGCTACATAATCTTTACTCCCTGGAATGGAGATAAGAAACGCCCTAACCTTTGTAATAGAGATTGATAGGATTGAATCAACTGGTATAAATACAGATGTAATAAGACAGTAAGACACAGAACTTAGTATACGGAACCAAGAGAGACAGAACCTAGGCACAGAACCTACACAGAACGTTCTCTAGAGACAGAAGAACTTCGCTGGAGAGAACATGGCAAAAGATCCTGGACAGAAACTAGCCTCAGAACCTAGAGATAGAACCTAGGGAGAGAACATGGCAAAAGATCCTGGACTGAACCTGACTACAGAAATTGACAAAAGAACCTGACTAGAACCTGGTTACTGAACCTGGCTGGAGAACCTGGACAGAACCTGGCTGGAGAACCTAGCAAGACAACATGGACACAGAACCTGGCTGGAGATCCTAAGCAGAACTTCGCTGGAGATCCAGACCAGAACTTGGCTGGAGATCCTGGCTAGGCTGCTGATCAGCTGAACGCTGTCTCCGTGTCGTACCTTCTTCGCCGACTCCGTCCACACCTTTGGGGACCCCTGGACCCGCTGGGGTTGGACCCCGGCAATCAGTAGAGTAAACATTTGTTTCTTAAAAATAAGGCAAGGAATTTCAGTATAAAGAGACAGGTAGCCCCAGCCGGCTTGGCTCAGTGGATAGAGCGTCAGCCTGCGACTGAAGGATCCCAGGTTCGATTCCGGCCAAGGGCACATGCCTGGGTTGCGGGCTCAATACCCAGTAGGGGGTGTGCAGGAGGCAGCTGATCAGTAATTCTCTCTCATCATTGATGTTTCTATCTCTCTCTCCCTCTCCTTTTCTCTCTGAAATCAATAAAGAAATATATTTTTTTTAAAAAAGAGAGACAGGTAAAGAAACATAAAATAAGTTTGGAAGAATGTTTTCCATTCTAACATGCTGATTTGCGTACCAGGATTACATGTGACTTTTTTGTTCTATTTTGCTTACATAAACTTTTAAGTGTAAAAAACCTATATGAACATACATGACAGATTACTTGTATAATAAAAAGTTGAAAAACAAAGATAAGAACAACCCACGTGTGAAATGAAAAAGGAGAGTTTTGTTGGCTATTCCTCCTCAGTCATTTTTGTGGGCTCTTTTTCCTTTCCCTGTTTTTTTTTTCTTTACTTTATTGAGATATAATCTACATGGTGTCAAATTCACCCATTGAACTGCACAACTCATGTATTTAAATAAAGTTAATGAGTTGTGCAAACATCACCACAATCCAGTTTACACATTCTCATCACCTCCATATTTGCTGTGCCTATGTAGAGTCAATCCTGCTTCCACCTCTAGCCTCAGGCAACCACTGCTCTCCTTTCTATCTCTACAGATCTGCCCTTTTTTGGGTATCTATATATATAAAAGCCCAGCAACCTAAACGGCAGAACAACCAGAATGACTGGAATGACCAGTTGCTATGATGGGCACTGTGGCAGCCAACCATCATCCAGGCCCCAATTGGTCCCTCAACCACCTGCGGCCCCTTCCCCACACCAATCGAGGGTGGGGCCGGATGGCCAATGGTCCACGGTCCCTACCCCTGGCCTGCCGGCCCCTGATAGGCCCCAATGGGGGGGCAGCTGGCCAACCTCCAGGGGTCCCTCCAGCCAGCCAGCCGGCCCCCCAATAGGCCTCAATCGCTGCCCAGGACTAGGGACCCCACCCATGCATGAATTCATGCACCAGGCCTATAGTTACATAAAAATGTAATCATCTGAGGTGCTCCATGTCTGGCTTCTTTCACTTAGCATACTATTTCTGATGTTTAATCATTCTGAAGCAGTTATCAGTAGTTTGTTCTTTTTTATTCAAGATGCTTATTGATTTAACTATTGAAAATCAATTTACCGTTAAAGTCAATCATTCTGTTGCAGTGATCTGTATGTCTATACTTGTACCAATACCACATTGTCTTGACTGTTATAACTTTATGAAAAGTTTTGAAACTATTAGTCATCCAACTTTGTCCTTCCTTTTCAAAATTGTCTTGGCTATCCCTTTGCATTTCCATATAAATTTCAGAAGTTTGTCAGTTTCTCCAAAAAGCATGGTTGTTTTTTGTTTTTTAATCCTCACCCGAGAATATGCTTACTGATTTTAGAGAAAGAGGAAGGGAGCCCTACCTGATTTGGCTCAGTGGATATAGAGCGTCAGCCTTCGAACTGACGGGTACCAAGTTGGATTCTGGTCAAGGGCACATGCTCAGATTGCAGGCTTGATCCCCAGTAGAGGGCGTGCAGGAGGTAGCCAATCAATTTCTCTCTCATCATTGATGTTTCTATCTCTCTCTCCCTCTCCCTTCCTCTCTGAAATATATAAAAATATTTTTTTAAAAAAAAGAGGAAGGGAGAGAAACACCCATGTGAGAGAAACACTAGTTACCTCCTATATGCACCCAACCGGGGACCAAACCCCAATACCTAGGAATGTGCCCTGACCAGGAATCAAACCCACAACTTTTTGGTGTATGGGACAATGCTCCAATCAACTGAGCCACCCAGCCAGGTTTGTTGCTTTTTTCTTTTCCAAATATATTTTTATGGATTTCAGAGAGGAAGTGAGGAGAAAGAGAGTTAGAAACATCAATGATGAGAGAGAATCATTGATTGGCTGCCTCCTGCACGCCCTCTACTGGGGATCAAGCCTGCAATCTGGGCATGTGCCCTTCACCGGAATCCAACCTGGCACCCTTCAGTCCACAGGCTGGCACTCTATCCACTGAGTCAAACCAGCTAGGGCTGTTTTTTTGATAGGGATTGCATTGAATTATAAGATCAATTTGAAATGAATTACTATCTTTTCAAACTTTTTTTCTCTAGTTTCTATTACTGTATCTTCAAGTTCACTAATTTTTTCTTTTGTAACTTCCAGTCTGCTTCTTATCCTATCCAGTATACTTTTCATCAAAGACACTGTCGTTTTCATCTGCAGAAGTCTGATTTAGGATTTTAAAAATATCTTCCATACCTTTATTTAACATGTTCAATCTTTCCTCTAACTTCTTGCACATACAGAATAAATGTAGAATTTATAATTGTCTTAACATCCCTATTAATTCTATCACCGGTGTAATTTCTGGGTTGGTTTTGATGGACTAATTTTTCTCCTCATTATTGGTTGTATTTTCCTGGTTCTTTGCTTGCCTGGTAATTTTAAAAAAAGATGAATTTTACCTTCTTAGTTGCTCAATTTTTAAAATCCCTTTAAATAGTTTTGACATTTGTCGGGGTCATTGTTACATGAAAACAGTTTAATTCTTTTGGGTGTTGTGCCTAAAGAAACAAAAGCAGACACAGTTCATTCAGTTTTGCTCATTACTGAGGCAAAACCCTCCTGAGTATTCTGCTTGACACCCCATGAATTATGAATTTTCTATTCTAGCTGGTGAGAAGAACTGGCTCTGTGTGAACATCAAAGACTGTTCCCTTTAATCTTTTCAGGTGGTTTTCCCTGGCCTTGGTTTGCATGTACACACACATGTATACACCCACACCCACAGCCACGTATTCAGCTGAAGATCTAAGTGAAATCCTCTTAGAGAACTATCCCCTATAGTTCTCTCTCTACATGGCTCCTTCTCTTATACTGTGCCCAGCTCCATTGCCTCAACTTAGGGATACCACTTATTGCTGGTGGAGTCCCTCTCTCTGCACATAGTCTGGACAACTTTGAGAACTGTTGTTTGCTTCATATACTTTGATTTTCTGTTTGTTTCAATAGGAGAATAAATCCAGTCCTTGTTACCCCATGTTGGCCAAAAGTCAAAGTCTATTAACAGTTTTAAAAAGTAAAAATGGATTTCTTTTTATGTTTTCTGTTATGTTAGCATATTGTATTTTTTTTTCCCCCTGACAAATACACTTCAGAGTTAAATACTTTTGAGGTAGAGAAAGTTATACAGGGGCAGAAAAAAAAAATGTTATAATCTGATTACCATAATTTAGTATAATCCCTTCAAATCTTCCTCCATAAAATCTTGGGTAGCCAAAACCGGTTTGGCTCAGCAGATAGAGCGTCGGCCTGCGGACTGAAGGGTCCCAGGTTCGATTCCGGTCAAGGGCATGTACCTGGGTTGCGGGCACATCCCCAGTGGGAGATGTGCAGGAGGCAGCTGATCGATGTTTCTCTCTCATTGATGTTTCTAACTCTCTATCTCTCTCCCTTCCTCTCTGTAAAAAATCAATAATATACATATATATATATATATATATATATATATATATATATATATATAAATCTTGGATAAATTTTTTGCTTCTTTCCCTATCATTTTATCATATGCATACTTATATGTTCTTAATGTTTCTTTGTAGACATAATTGTATATGCCTGTATAATAGTCTGTATTCTGTCATTGTTAATACAATGACCTTTTTCTCTTTTTTTCTTTGGTTAATCTGGTCAGAGATATAGTTAATTTATTCACTTGTTTTCTAATAGGCTACACTTTTAAATTTTCTATTAAAGTAAAGCAACCTACAATTTTTATTGAGTTTTCTTTTACTAAATGTTTATCTACCTTTTTGCATAAAGATTATATAAATAAAGTTACATATTTTTCCTTGCTTGCCTCCTCCACATGCAATTTAATCTCTGATAAATAATTCTGACTTAGAATAGAGAAAGTTATTTTTTTTTCTATTTATAACTC